ATAGCACCCACCCACCTGGGGAAAATGGGCACCTTTGATCTCCGGTGCATTCCTCTTCACTCCCTTTGATCAACTCAAATCACAACACGGATGGCGAAATCTGGCTCTATTTGGCGGGGCGGAGGCTCGTCTTCGATTCCAGGTCAAAATGGCCAAACATTTGGCGAGTCCACTTGAGCGCGTTTTTTGACGCATCCGGGTCAAAATAACCAAAATCCTGATTTGTCAGCAGGATAGCGAGTCCACTGGAGATGCTCTTCGAGGGTCCAGAGAAATCTCTCCGGTGTTTCCTCATCAACGCGGTGGGCAAAGGTCGGCACTCTCTTCCGCCAAGCATGGACGCCGGACGCCTGAAGGGATCTTGCGACTGATGTGATATCGCATCCGAAGGACTTATCCAACCGGCAAGTAAGTTAGTTAGTTTCCGTTACCTTGTTCACACTGCATAACATTTTTGCCCTTGCTGAAATGCTCCTTTCGCACAGGACCTGGGTGAGTAACGATGGATACGTTCCTGTCCTTTAGTGCATCGAATGCGCCCCGGAAAACTCCTTTCCCCCTTACTCATCAATGCACGGAACTCGGGGTGGGACAATTCCTCCCAGCCCTATGCTACTCTCCTGCCATTCCCTTGTCACGTGCATTCTTTCCAGCGAAAGAAATGATCCTCCAATGAGCGACCCTCGTTCTACATCGGGCCCCAGGGATAAGAAAATCAAGCCTGGGAGCATCATTGTATTTTTGCTCCCAATGCATTCCTCTTCCCGCACAGCGACCTCAGTCAATAATGAGGGTTTGGGGAGTTTCTGCACAATTTTGATGGGATGGGCAACCTTCCTTTTCTCTCGCCAATCCAATTGGCCCCAAAAGAGAAGAATCCATTTCATCTCATCCACGTTAGACGTTTGGGAAAGTATGTGGCACAGCTACCCCTCCCAGCCTCCTTGAACTATTGCTGCTTTCACCTCATACGAAAGCGGGGACCTCTTGGGTGATGAACACACCATATCCAAAAACAGAAGTGCGGAAATATTGGGGATGATCAGCTATCAGGGGTTGAACCTGTAATATCGCTGGGTTCTACGCTTGGCGGACCTCGTAGCCCGTACCCCCCTAGCCTACTCTGGTACGCGTTTGGACCTGGCACCGTGGCTTGGGGAGCGGCGGATCCACTCGTTTGTGCTGAAATTTTGGGAAATTTCGGGAAACTCCGAAATTGATTTTATTGTTTGAGCTTGATACTTCCCTCCTCCGCTTTTCGTCGCCATTCTCCGCCTCCATTACCGACATCCCCCTAAGTCGTCCACATCCGCAGCCCAGCCCAGCCCGGCGTTGACCTCTCCCTATCCCCAGGGCTGTTGCTCCCTATCCCCACCGGAATGCCTCCCAAACCCAACACCGTCCCTTTGTCGCGCTTCAAGTTCAGCGAGCAGCACAAGAGCGAGCTCAAAGAGCGCTTCAGTGGGACCCCCTACCCCAGATAATAACTGGTCCATGCAATGACCGACGCGGCGCGCGAGAACTTCCTGAAGCCCACGCTCAGTCCTTACGGTCTCTATTCCTTTCCTGACAAAAACCCACTCTGGAGGCGCACTGACAGCCGGGCACGTTGGCAAATAAAGGATCCGAACTCGGGCGCGCTCCTGGTCTCATGGCAGTGTCGGTCCAGCGTTGACCCTTATTTACACAATGATACGACAGGCACAGGCCAACTTCATCACACGCATGAATTCACTGGTTGCCTCGCTCATCTGCAGGTCTGCATTTAGCACAGTGGGCAGTGGGTGGGCAGTGAGGGCAGGTCCCCCTTCCGCTGCTTCCACCACGCCAGATCCCGCATCTGCCGAGGGGGACCTGGACGCCGCTCTAGCCTCGGCGGACCCTCCCGAGGTCGAGGGCTCCTCGCTCGCCGTCCTCCACGAGCACCTGCGGCAGTCCGTCGCCCGGGACACCTGCAAAATGGTCGCCCGGAATGGTCGGGTTGAACGTGTCAGCCGCCGTATTGATCTTCCATCGCAACGACTTTGTCGAGATTTGAATGTATGTGCTTAAGTGTCCGCACTCTTCGTCAAGGCGCCGTGTTCGCGTCTGCCATCTGCCATCGGCCCCTTCAATGACTGTGTCGGGTTGTTGTTAGCTGAGAGCAAATGCCAAATCGCAGGACCAACAAGCAGATTAGGGAGAAGACAGGGGTTGATGCCTTATGTGGAAGCGTCAGTGAGATGTCGTCATCATGTGCTACGACGCACATATCAGTCCCGCGCTCCTTCGGCGAGCCCGGCGGCGAATCCGGAAAAGTCTCGAGTAACCGTCGCATGGAACCACTCCACTCCTTGAGGACGACGATCAGACTCGCCCAGGAAGCACGCAAACGTCCAGAGTATATAGAACATGTTGAACAAGACGAAAGTAACTGGAGGAAAAAAGAAAAAAAGGGTTTCGCGGCTCCCATGCACAAGGATACAAATTCGACGCCATCTCCACCCTTTTCACCCCACACTACATTTAGTAACCCCGCGTCCAAAGCGATGAAGGTAAAGTGGAACAGAAAGGGAGAGAACGGAACCCCGATTCGACGGGCATCAGGGTCGCGCCAGCGCGGGTTTACGCGCCGTTTTGCTCATCCGCGCTGTCGTCTCCCACTGCTCTCCGGGTGTCGTCCTCGTCGCCATCGCCCGCCTCCTCCCCTCGACCGTCTTCGTCGATATCGTCGTCTTCCTCGCGGTCCTCGTTCTCGTCGTAGTCGTCGTCGCCGTAAGAGTCGCCGTCAGCGTCCGAGTCCTCGTCACCATCCCAGGCGTCCGAGTCAGAGTCCGAGCCGGCGTCGCGCTCAACTGCGGCGCCGCCCTGGTCAGCACGGGGCGGGAACCCGCGGTGGATGTGCGGGGGCGCGTCGTCGGGGGAAATGTGGACACTCGAGACCCAGTCGCTCGTAAGTTGCTGAGCTGCCGTTGCACTGCGGAACGTATCACATTAGTACTTGGTGAAACGAAAATTGCAGGTGACGACATTCATCTCTGAATCAGGTCCCCCCAGATTGTTTACGCACCGTTTTTCTGGATGAATCTCGATCATCGGGAGGAGGAAGGAGGCGATCGCGTCGGCGTCTTCTTTCGAAAAATGGTATTTCTCGTTCAGGACGTCATTCAGCTTCCAGAAGCGAAGCTTATGAATATGCTTCAGTTCGGCTGTTTCACGGCGGAGTAGATGAGAAACTTAGAAAGAGTCGGTTGAAGAGCTATCAAACATCGCACAAACCATACTACCTCACCTTTCCGATTGAATATTGCGCTGCTGTACTTTCCGCTAAGGGCCAGCTGCTTAGGGAAATTTCCGAGAAGCTCGATGATCTGCGCGATATGGTCTGCCGGAGAGGAGGGCGTCAGTGACGACCATCGTTTTAAGTCGACATAATGCAGGCGGGAAAGGGGTGGCTTGCGAATGACACCGTTGCCTCCTCTATGTACCATCGTCCTTCGTATATCTCGAACCGGCCTGCGGATCAAAGAGGTAGTCTCCGGTCAACAGCTCGAAGAGCTAATAGAGGCAAAAAACTTCGATGAATAAGGGAACGGAGCAAGACAATTGTCCGACGGGTGATATACGTCGCTCCTCGTCCATAAGGCAAAGCTGCAGCAGTTATGCTCTCTGACGCACCATGCACCCTAGGCTCCACATATCAGCGCTGCGATCGTATTTCGCCCCCAGAATCGCCTCAGGTGAGCGATACTGACGCGTCTGGATATCGTTTGTGAAGTGGTGCTCGACCCAGCAGGCGTTTCCAAGATCGGCAATCTTCACCTAAGTTTAACGTGAAAGAATGTCGTTGGCCAGAGGTGAGGCGACGCTAATATTCGCGAGTCTCCTGCCGGCAGCCCTCCGCCTCCCGACCTTGCTACCGTTACCTGGATCCTCTCGTCCTGCTTCAACCGTCGCTCTCGCGCCTCCTCCCGCTTTATCTTCTTGCGTTCGACCTCGGTCCCCTTCCCCTTCGGACGCTCCTTTGGCCGTTCCTCCTCAAGCCGGTTCTTGTCCTTCGCCAGGATAGGTTCGGGCTTTCCGGCACCTGAGAAAATCCAGAAGCCTTTAGAGATTGCGCGACGGAGATCATAGGGAGTGGTGATCTCAATGCTCCAGCTGATAGATTGTAAGGCTACCTACCGTCGCGATCGGTAGTGGTATCAAGCTTATCTGCAAGACTAATATCGCTAAGATTTCGGCCGAGAGTGTCACTATAGGCGGCGAAAGTCGGATACGGCGTGAGGTAATTGCTGGGAGGGCCGCTTGGGAGATTCGCTAACCTACTCCATGATAGAAAAGAGGGAGCCCCCCCCCCCCCCCCCCCCCCCCCCCCAAAAAAAAAAAAAAAAAAAACTGGGTTCAGCCTACGAAGCAGGACGTCACACGAGTTGACGCTGCGGTGGGCGTCGTTTGTTGATAGATATGGCGATCTGCGGGTCACCCCCAGAAGGCCAAACGCTAGATGCGCACAGGTGCGCATGCAGAACTGCGAAAACGCACCGTGACAGCCAAGATGGGCAGAATGCTCGGATTTGGCAAACGGATTCAGCGTGGGGGAGGGTGCGACGGGTCACGGACAGAGTGACGGTTTCGATCCCAATGAGGCGGACGACTGGGGAAGGGGGGGAGGGGGGCGGCTACACAGGGAGGTGTGCCCGCCGAAATATATAAGTAAAATCAGAAAGGTACCCCACCCGAGACGGGGATCGAACCCGCAATCTTTGCCTGCCTAGCAAGTAGGAGGGCAACGCGTTACCATTGCGCTACCCGGGCTTGACCTTCCCGGTCAAAGATACCATATAGACTCCACAAATCACTTCCGACTAAAATATGGTCCCAACCCGACCAAACGACCGGACCGTGAGTCACAATTAGATTGACTTTGGAGGACGTTCGTGAGGGGGAAGGGAGGGGGGTATCATCTTGGCATGCAGAGCAAGGGGTGAAGCCATTTAAGCAAGGGGTGGAGTGGGAGGTGAAGTGCAGAGGTGTACCAACTCGCCACCTTGACTGGATGTCGAGACAATGATCGGGGACGAACGGAACGAACGACTCCCAGACGTCACATGCATCCAAGCGGCTTGACCCGCGGCGGTGGTTGACCCAGGCAGTCGAGGTTGCCCGGGACAGGATGAAAGTCCCTGGTGATCGTATGCTGACAGGCCCGAGACCACGAAAGCCGGTGCTCCCGATCCCCGTGGTGCAGCAGACGAAGGAGCCTAGTCGAGCGGGGTTCGCTCTTCGCGAACCCGTTGTTGCGGCAACCTACCAGTGCCTTGCGTGCGTGCCTATCCCTCTTTTGTGCGCACTGGCGTTCAAGCACTCACCCGGACGAGGCAGTCGGTGAACCACGCCCCCGTCGGCGCCGGTTTTCGTTATTGACGCTCTTGAGTTGCCCAAAGAAGTGACGTTGCTACCTTGCGGTCGAGGTTTGGCTGATGGTTTGACAGGAGCCACACACTGTATCGCCCATCGGTTGGATCGGAAAAGTTGACGGGCAAGGGCGGAGGGAAGTGCAAAATCCTGCCAGTGATGATCGATGTCTTCGCGCCAAGCGCCACCTCTCCCTCAGCCGATTGTCGTGAACGTCGGAGCAACAACGCCGTCTGGGGAGATGCAACGCGAACCCCGCTCTTTTTTTTTCCAGCACAGCGGGCCCGCACCAGTTAGAAGCTCCTCGTATTTCTTAGCGGACGTACGTACATACAAGCACCCGACCCTTCGCTATCCACACTCCCTTCCTCAAGTAAAGCGATAGTCGTCACGACCCCCAGCTCTCCCGCCCCACCTCCCCGAACAAAACAATCTTGACCCCAGCGCGGCAACCTCCGTCTCCCACGGGACCATCCCTCTTGTCTTCTCGCCCCGACCCATTGGCGGGGTCGAAGCAAAAAAATAAATAAGCCGACTATTCAGCCCATGGTGATCATAAACGCCCGGGAGTCGCTCTCAACGCCCTGGACCGGGTCGACGTCGGCCTCGTCGACGACATCGAGCGCGGCCTCCGAGCGAGCGAGGGTGGCGCCCGGTTTGACTTCGGGTCCGAGCGACTTCGCGCCGGCGCCAGCGTTGGCGGTAGGTGAGCTGGAAGCGACGAGCTTCCGAAACGCGACGCGATCGAGGAAGAGCCGCTGGCGTTCGCGTTCGACGTCGCGGCGCTCGGCCTCGAGCAGGGCCTCGAGCTCCTCGAAGTGGCGGAGCTTGAGCGCCATTTTGGAGAGTTGGGCTTCGACGAGGGCGCGCGCGAGGGCTTGCATTTCGCGCTCGGTTTGGTGTGCGATGTGGGTGGCTTTGGCCGCGGCGGCGCCGAGGGCTGTCGCGGTCGCCGTAGGGAGCGTCGGCGCGGCGGGCGAGGGCGTGGTCGACGAGGCGGGCGCGGAGGGTGCCGCTGCTGAGGTCGCGGCGCGGGCAGTAGCAGAGAGCGGCGCGGTTGATTCGGAAGCGGGTTCCGGAGCCGGAGGAGATTGGCTGTCAGCGGCAGGGGTCTCGATCGGCGCGGCTTCCGCCATTATTTCGTCTCCGTCGGCATCGGACTTGATCGGCGGCGCGTCCGTCTCCATGGCGTCTTTCCCGGTCGATACGGCGTCTTTACTCTCTTCCACGGCCCGAGCGTCGGGCATAGCTTCATCAGCTCCCACCTGAGGCAATCCCCTTCCCTCCCCAACCTCCCCTTCCATGGTTTCGTCAGGCGTCTCTGTCTCCGTCGCAGCCGTGATTTTCGATTCCTCCTTTCGCTCCGATTCCTGCTCGACCGGGGCTTCACCCGCCGCCGCCTCGGTAGCAGACTTCTCGGTACTCTCGCCCGGGACCATAACCGCACCTTCTGCCTCCTTTTCCGTCTGAGTCCCCGCGCCCACCGAAGCTTCCGGCACGGCGCTCCGCTCCTCTAATTTAGCGACAGCCGCGACGGCCGCGGCCTTCGCAACGTCCGGAGGAACGACAGAGGCGAGGAAGGCGGCGAGCGAAAGCACGGGGTTTTCACCGGCAGCGAACGGAATCCGTTGAAACTGCAGCGGGCCCAGCTCGCTCGCCTTGCGGCCGACGTAAGGGTCCTCGATCGGGAGTTTCAGGAATGCAAGGATGCATTGGTCGCGGGTGCGGGTTCCCACGTGCGTCGCGATCCGAGTCCAGTCTTCGTCGTACATCTCGAGGCCCTCGAGGAGTAGGAGCGTCTCTTGGTCGGTCCATTCGTCGTCCGAGGCATGGCGAGTGGGACGGTCGACGAGTTTCGTAAAGTCGCCGGACGTCATAGACGAGGGAAAGCGGCCGTCAAGATAGCAGGATGAGCAGAGGTGGACGGTTGCTACCTTTGTGTTATGATAGCGAGTGGCGGTGCAGTCGACGCCGCAGGTGGTGCAGGTCTGACGGGGTCGCTTGGGATCCGGGGCGTCGTCGAGGCCGTCATCCGCACCGCGCTTTTGAGGAACCGATGCGTAGATATTGCGCGCGCCGACGCCAAAATCGCTGGAGGCGCGGAAATCTGGGACCGTTGGCGCGGGCTGGGCGGCCGATGTAGCTGCGGAGTAGGACTCGGGGGCAACGACACCTGCGGGCTTCGGTACGTTCGGATAGAGAGGTTGGAGGCCCCGGGGGGTATCGGCCGTGACGCGAAAATGTCCTGTGAATGCGGGTCCAACGATGGAAGGTCTCGAGTCCGGGTCAACCTTTTTAAAGAACGGAAGAAATATGAAGTTAGCGGGGATGTTTCGAGGGAAAGGTTCGACCCATCAGGATCCCATCGAGCCTCAGCCCTCCGTATGCCCACCTGATAATTGATAAGGCCCCACTGCTCCAATAAACCATGAACCCTAATAATAGCGCACACATCACCCGCAAGGTTTCTCCTGCAAGCGGTCACGGTAAGGTACTCCAAAGGATTCAACCGGTAGGTGTTGATCATAAAGTCTCGGTAGTCCTTGTAGATAGAGGGGGTTTTGCTTCTGTTTTTCGAGTTAAAGAATTCCGGCAGGGAGCGCTTTTCGATATCGTTGATGCGGGCAATGTTGAACCAGGCCGAGTACGAGGGGATGACAATCTCCTGGGTTTGATGGGAAAGCATCTTCGTGGCGGTCTGGTGGGCCGCTGTGTCGTTATCAGCGAGTCGCACGGGACCGCCTGATCCGTCGACGGAGGCATCGGTTGCTACGCCATAGGTAGGGCCTGCAGCATGGGGGTCAGAAGAAGTGGACGCGGCGGCAGCGCCCGAGTCTAGCTTCGGGGCTGAAGAGGAGGCCAACTCGACGCCAGCGTTCGAAGGCACTATGGAGGAGCAGAAGGAGAGGGCAAGATGGTTAGCAAGCGTGATCAGCCAGGTCAGATCGGGAGCGACTGGTCTGTGCATAAGTAGAGAACCATTCTCGGACCAAAGCAATCGATTGACTCGGTCCAACAACAGTGCTGCTGCCCAGTGACGCGCGTAGCGTTCTTCCCCTTCCCCTTCTGGACAACCTGCCCTCTTGCCAAACAGGAAAGAAAAACGGAAAACATGAGACAACAAACTGCTCACCCTTTTCACCGCCCATGGTTGGCGCGTCAACTCCCATGCTCGAGTCAGCGTCAGGGGTATTGGCCATGCTCATCAGATCCAAGTCAGTGCCGTTCTCGTCCTTGTCCTTGGCCGCCTGGGTGGGGTCTGCCGCGTCCTCTGGCCGGGCATCTCGAGACGCGATCTGGGCCCCGGACGCGGCACCGGGGGCCGAGCGGCCAGTGGAAGCGACGAAGTCCGATTGGACTGAGGATGAGCTTGCGGAGTCGTAGTGGGGAGATTTCGCGTTTGGCTGAGGGGTCTGACCGTTGTTGTTGTTTTTTCGGTCGTCGTCCTCGTCGTCGTCGTCGTCGTCGTCGTCCTCGTCGTCGTTGTCGATGTCGCGAGCCGGGGTTGAAGCGGTTGAGGAGTCGTTGTTTGTTATTGGGAGAGGGGGAGGCACGGCGTAAGAGTCAGTAGAAGGAGCGGGAGAGGGCTCGACGTCGTCGTCCTCGAACTCGTTGAGCATCTTAGCCGGGAAGTGTTGTCACAGAGTCTGTTTGTGGGGAGGGGGGAGGATCTGAGGGGAAGGAAAGAAAGAAGTATGTTGACGACTTTGTCGAGTTTGACTTGCGTCGGAGGTCTGGAGTCTAGAGTCTGGACGGAGGCGGCAGGCAGAGAAGATTAGGGTTGGGGCCCTGTTCTGCCAATTCATTTCAAAATTCCAACCAGTCGCACCACAGGAACAAAACACCTGAAGACATCCCTCCCGAGCGAGCCTGCAACGCCATCTTCCGCAACTGCCCAGCTAGATCTCAACCCTTTCCCCTCAACAACCCCGCCACGAGCCTCGCCGTGAAAGCTCGCTGACCGCGTCTCAACCGTCAGACTCTACTTGGAAAAAATGTCTCCCAAAAAGCCAAAGCCAACAACTGCCGCGGCAATCGCTGCCGCATTGAAGAGGAAAAAGAGGAAGCCTGTCGGAAAGCTGCAGCCCGGAAAGGCAAACGAGTACGTGTGCTTCTCTCCACTTCGCCTGAACCTGGCCGCGCCGCTGCTGGGGAAAGGCCAGCCTCTCGATCGTTATATAACTGAAGGCTTCGGAACCTTCTACACCGGCGCGCAGCTGCCCGGCTGGCGATCTCCTGCTCCCTGCTGCGTTGGCTTTGTCTCTAACGCTCTCTCCCGACTTCTTTCACTCTGCGCCCAGCTCAAACGCCTTGAAGCCTGCATCGAAGGAGTCGTACGAGTCCGACGGGACAGAATTCAGCGAGGAAGAAGAGGATGCGGAGGATTACTGCAAAGGTCG